TCCTCGGACACTCAGAGAGCTCGCCCCTGTGCAGGTAAAACTTGGCCAATAAAGTAACGTCTTGAAAATTCTGAAAGTCTCCGGACCTCTGTTTCTCGTGATGGCGGATGCAACAAAAACCATTCTTAGCTCACAAGCCATATGAAGAGGCAGCAGGTCAGGTTTGGCCTATGGGTTATAGTTTGCTCACTCCTGCTAATCCTGCTTACCCCAGCTATTCTTCAACAATGGTTTTATTTCACCTTTTTCATAACTTCAAGATGCGTGAGGATAAGTACATCCCTCACTGAAGAGGAACCTGAGGCTCCAAGAGGCTTAAGAAGCTTATTCATGGTTATAGCTAGGCAGTGTCAAAGCCAGAAATAAAGTTCTTCTGAATCTTAACCCTATCTCTCTCTCTCTCATACACACACACACACACACACACACACACATACACACACAATAAAATTCATATGGAATAGTGAACAAAAGCATACAGAAAAAGAATTGTGTGTGTGTGCCAATGTTCCTTGGTATCCACCTGGCAATGCTTCCAGGATTCCTTCCTCCTCCACCCACCCTCCTAAAGATAACAACACCTTCAGATGCTTACATCCCTTACCGCCCCCTCAGTATCTGTACTGTAAGCCTAATGACTTTGTAACTTACACTTGTTGCTGGCTTGCCCTTTACTTTCTGCCTGTCTATACCTACTTTTATTCCCAAGAAGATTTTAAACTGTAATACACCTTCAGTGACCAATTTTGTTCAACTTTAGTACATAGATAAAGGATTCGTATTCCATATAATATTTATTAATTGATGCAAGAAAAATAATGGGGATGTATGTCTTCTACATAACACTTAGAAGTCTAATATATTCAAAATAAAAACAAAATTATGCAATATAATAATAATAGTATTAATACAGTTATTAAGACTTTGTGTCAAATATTTCTAAATTTAACTACAAATAAAAAGCTGCAGAAAAATGTTTTGATGCTGGCTTTTAATTTTATGCTAAAATATTAGATCCTTTTTAGAGGAGATCTCCTGTAATATTACTTTCCTGTTTGGTTATTAACTTAAGTGATGTTATTTGACTGGGTTTCATATGGGCTGCAGATCCTGCTGAGAAAGCATCAAACTGGGCTCATTTAGGAGGAGGCAATGCGGCAACATGAGAAAAGCTGCCATATGTGAAACCTCACTTTATGCCTATTGAAATTTTTGTATTTCAGGTCTCCCAGGGACATGTCCATTGTGCTATTGTGTAATTTTATCAGCATGAAGTTCTGCTGAATATTTTCTCTCCTTTTCAAAACCCATATTTTGGTAGGGCTAACTTCAAAACTTAATGTTGTAACATCTGTGCCATACACCTGGGAGCCACAGAAGATGTATCCTGAAGATTATCTACATTTTCTAATCTTACAGAATGCGGCAAAATGAGAGAAAAAGATTATACATTTTTTTCTGGTCAAGAATTCTTTGAAAGAAACCCCTTTATGTCTCCTTAGAAGGATTCTCAAAATAAAAGAGAATCACTATTTCTAAAGCTAAAAAGAAGATTCCTACAAATGTCATAGAAAACTCATTTGTTTTTGTTCACAGATAAGAATAAGTCTTAATACATATGTTCAACTTTCCATTAAGAGATACTGTGAATATACACAAAACCTGGAGCTATTTTCTCAAGATGTTTTTAAACAGGCTCTTTAATACCTATGTACAACAAAAATAGCAGAAGAGAAAATTCTACTATTTGAACTTATTTACTACTTTTATTCTGTAAATCTACCAAGAAATCATTAGATTTCTTTTTTTATGAATCATTATGTTACACACCTGAAACTAATACATGTCAATTACATCTTGATGAAAAATACAAAGTATCAATTCCTTCAGCATTTCTCAAACAGAAGATCGAGATCAGGATAAAGAAGAAGTACTTTGTGAATAGGACAGATGCCTCCCACATCATCTTTCATTAATTATTCTACCTTTACAGAATAAAATCTGTATATTTGGAACACCCTGCAGGTAATGATGCTAAAAATGAAATGTGCACAACAGTTTTTGTTGAAAGATCATGTAGCATATATGAAGTTTATATGGATTTAAATAGTTAGGAGGGACAATAAATGGGTTTGAGAAACCCTACATATGGGTTCTCTTGACTTTGTCATCAATTTATCAAGTTCTGATAAATATTAAATGCTTATGGGGTACTTTCTATGTCCCAGGTATTGTTATAATTGCTTTTCAAATTTCACCACAACTGTGCGAGACTTTTGTCATCACGATCTTACAGATAAGGAATCTGAGGCACTGAAAGACTAAATCACTTCCCCAGGACACCAGTTTGTTAATTGGGGGGCAGAGCTAGAGCAAAACTAAATCTACATTGCCCTATCTTCTTTTGGTTACTTTTCTTATGGGTAACTGGATAGCCTTTAACTTTTGCTTTGAAGCAAGTGAAATGGTAAAGTTGATACATTGTAAGTTATTTCAAACTTAGAAATATTCAAGGCAGGGCCAAGTTAAGTGTGTGTGATAAAGAAGGGAAGGGACAATGTGGTTAATTCAAGCCTGCAGGCATTATTACTCTCCTACAGATAAGAGTCAAATTAAAGAAAAAAATTCAACTTCCAAGTTGTGACAAGCAAGTAGCAGAAATTGACCCAATTTCTTTCTCACATGCTATTTTGCCATTTGCAGAAGAGGGTTGGTATTCTCACAAGGGAGACATAAAAAGTGGTAGTTAACTTCTCAGAAATTGCAGGAGTACTCAATGCTAGAGAAGCTACTGCAAGAAAGAAGACACATCCATATGTACTGAACACAAGTTACTTTCCTCTGTAGGTCAAATTAACAAGAAGAAAATGTATATCCATTTGATGTTCCTTCTTTGTATGTCTCAAGGTACAATATACAAAGTAAATAATTTCTGCTACATAGAAATTAAGCAGGCAGGCACCACTGGGTATTTTATATTTTGCAAGTACAATTGAAAGGAGAAATGCCATGTAACTGTACCTAAAGTAAGGGTTGTATCAAATGTTTGTTATCATTGTAAGACATTAACTACTAGTACCATTTACTTGACTTGCCAGGAGCATGGTGTCATGAGCCTGAACTAGGATTTGCAACATAGAAAGGTTATTAGAGGCATGGACATGAAAGAATATTGTGCTCTAAATAGAGTGAAAATAAAAAGAGATGTGAAAATCACTAACATGGCTTCCTAATTAAACCGTATCAATGCCTCTGTCAAGAAGAGTTTGTTGTTTGGAAGCTGTAGCTACTACTCACCTGACTGTACAATTGAGATTATGTCTGCATTTTACTTGTAATTTGGAAATAAAACTGATCACTGTGTTCTATAGACAAGGCCTGCCAAGTTATTACTTTGCAACTGCTTTGCAAACACATATGATTTAGGAGCAGCATTATTTATGACATAGTATACCAGAGAAATGATTTTACTTTGTATTTCTTATTTTAGTTTAAGAGATTTTTTATATATAAAAATAAAATTCTTCACGATTTTCAATAAATACTGAATTTCTTCACAATGTATTTTTATTTATTTTCACATTTTTTGTGTTGTTGTTCAAGTACAGTTGTCTCTATTTTCTCCCCATCACTCCTCCCAACTCTAGCCATTCCCACTTCTGACCCTTGATCCTACTCGCTTTGGCTTTGTCCATATTTACTTTATATATGTTCCTTACAACCCTTTCCATCCCCCCCTCAACTATCCCTTCCCACCCCCCCTCTGGCTACCGTCAGTTTGTTCTTAATTTCAATGTCTCTGGTTATATTTTGCTTGCTTGTCTGTCTTGTTGAATAGGTTCCACTTAAAGGTAAGATCATATGGTACTTGTTTTTCACCGCCTGGCTTATTTTACTTAGCATAATGCTCTCCACTTCCATCCATGCTGTCAACAACAGTAGGAGCTCCTTCTTTCTTTCTGCTGTGTAGTATTCCATCATGTAAACGTACCATAGTTTTGATTCACTTATTTACTGATGGGCACTTAGGTTGCTTTCAGCAATTGGTTATTGTAAATTATGCTGCTATAAACATTGGGGTATTGGAAGGAGTCAGGTAGCTGCATTCCCATAAGCAGGGCACTAGGGTTCCCTTTTCTCCACATTCTCTCCAGCACTTGTTGTTTGCTGATTTATTAATGATGGCCATTCTCACTGGCGTGAAGTGGTATTGCACTGTGGTTTTAATTTGCATCTCTCTGATGGCTAGTGATGCTGAGCATCTTTTCATGTATCTTTGGGCCCTCTACCTGTCCTCCTTGGAGAAATGTCTGTTCAGGTCTTTGCCTGAATGTGCTTGATCTTGTTTGATAATATTTTTTAAATTAGATTTTTTAAAAAAATTTTATGTTTACTCCAATGTATTGACTTCTTGTCCCAAATACTGCTTTAAATTTTACAGTGTTCATTCCTCCCATGTCTTCAAAATCATTATAATGCTCAGTTATTTTTTAACAGTACTCAATATTATGGTATCCTAATGTTACCAGAAAAAGCTTACAATTTAGAAAGTTCATATAATATGCATATTTTATAGAAATTGCTTCTTTAATTATTATCATATGAAGGATGACAGAAGGAAATCAATACCAAAAAGTCAATTTACTTGTTTTATAGCCATCTCAAATTTTCTAAGATTCATCCATCTAATCCATAATTTTGATTTCTTACAGGCTTTCTCAATACATTTTTAAATTAAATTGAGTCTAAATAAATAATAAAAACATATTCATACTATCTTCACTTGCTAAGGATTATATTCTACTCACAAGTATCTTCACTTGCTAATGAATTATATTCTACTCACAAAAGTAGTTTTAGTATTAAAGAAATGTTTGTTTTCCCCCTTAACAGACTTTAGTTGCATGAGACTCTATTGATGCAATAGAATTCTGATGGTGAATTCTAGGCAGGAACCCAAAGAGACTCTATTTTGATGGGTTATTTAAGAGCAGTCCTACCTTTCTCCACTTTTTCTTCTTGGTCACCTGCTACTGGCATCACTTCCAGTTGCTCTACAATCGTGGCATCTTCTTGGTTTGATGGAAGCTCTAAACAGAATGAGACAGAAGGCTACTCAGGAATGTTTTAGTTGAAATCATTGACAAAACACACCTACTAAAGAACGCAAAGTTAAAGTTCTTTCCCCGACCCCCTCCAAGTTTTAACAGGCATTCAAAGCAGAAAACTGTTGCCATTCTCTAGAAATCATTGCCTAAAACCCACCCGCCCCGCTCTCCCACACACAGGTATGTGTAGGAGTCAGGGTCCATAGTTTTGTCTCAGTCTCTGGTAACAATATATGCCACTTTCAATACCTTCTGTTTCCATGTACAAGCTCTGTGACTCTGTCTCAATTTTTATTTCATTCTTCATTGAATCATTCTCTTGTCCTGTTAAGAAGTGTGATTGAAAAAAATTGTTTTTAAAAATACATGACCATAGCTTTAACCCTGGTTTGAAAAAGAAAAAAATGTCAGAAACCATGCTTCAACCATTCATGGAGAGGTAGAGAACAGTTCTGAATGAAAGCAGAGGGGGAAGGAATCATTTTTTGTAGATCATCAAATTTATCTCAATTATTTTATAAGAAATGTCTAGATAATTTAGGTAAAAACTCTTCTTTGAGCTGATTAGTATAATGACTATTTAGCTTATGAATGTACTAATAGCAGTGAACACAACCTGGAAGTCTTGACATTTTAAATAATTCCTGGGCTGCATGTGTTAATTATATTTAATTTTCCTTGAAGATAGAGATATTTCCTGTACTGAAGATGCCTGGAAAATTAAAACACTACTTGCATTTTCATTCTTCCATCGATGGAGCATGAACAATTGGAGCAATGTGGGCACACTCAGACTGGGCCACCGGACAGCCCAACCTCTCTAACGGCACCCACTGAACACAGCAATGGTCAGGAGAAAACTCAGCCAACTCTTAGTTACTATGAGGCTCATTATCCAGTAATGGTTTTCTATTCCCCTTTGCATCCCCTGGCTTCTCCTCCTCCCTTTCCCTGTAGGGTTTAGAACATTTAAGTGTTAGTTAAGGGGGTAAATTGAAATCTGTCCATCTTGTCTCACATTGATAAAAGTTTGTGCTGAGGCTATTTCATTGCTGAATTTTAAAAAATCCAGAGCCAGGCTTGGTTATAGGCAGAAAGAGGATGCAGAGGAGCTTGGGCTCTTTGCCTGGGTATATCCCTGTGGTAGATGCATTATTGTTCCTCCCCCTTTCTGAAAGAGGAGACTACTTCTCTCTGACCATGTGACCTGCAGTGGCCCCTGTGGGATGAGTGTATGTTCCCACCTCATCGGATTTAAACAGAAACTTCAAGATCCATTGCACGCTTCCTCCAGCTCTTTTGCTCCTAAGGGAGTGTGCTCTTCAGCCTAGATCCTGGAATGAAAGCACGTGGAGCAAAACCAAGCAGAGACGTGGCAAACCTTTGTTGTTGCAGCTATTGGAGCTTTTAGGGTTATTTGTTCTTACAGCAAAGCTGACATCAACCTCCAGTATTCATAGCTTCCTCTTTAACACAACAGTTAGTAATCTGCCTATTAGTACTTCCTTTTGGGACAACAGTAATTGAGCAATGATAAAAAATTTTAAAAAATAATCATTAGAGTAATTCCTGCTGGTTTATTCTCTGCTACAATAACCAACACTTAAAAAAAAAACTGTTTCTTTTGGACATCCTTTCCTCTTGAGCTCAATTTTGATCAAAAGGATCCAATAAAAAATTGCAAGTACAATATATTTATATACTTGTTCATTGAAGCTGGAAGTCTCAAGCTGCCTTTGATATCTTTCTGTCATCACTCCTAAAATTCAATGAAATAACAAAATTTGATTTTCTGAAAAATGCTTATTTTTTTTCTATCTAGTCCCCTTCCCCTTTACTCATTCAGGGATATATTATCTCTCTATTGGATCTATTATTTTCTCCTGTAATCTATTTTGTGAATTGCTAACAGTAATATTTTTAAAATAGGAATTTAAGAACTTTCCCCTGCTGATAAACCTCATCCATCCCCATTTCTCTCTATTTCCACGGACAAACTGGTCCATGGGTGAGCAGCATGGGAATTAGCTGGGAGCTTTAAAAAAATACAGGATTTCAGGCCTCATCTCAGACCTACAGACTTATGGCGCACATTTCAGCAACATTTCTGGGTGTTCTGTTTGTACATTGAATGTTGGGAAGCACTAGCCTAGAAAATATATTTATAAATCACTTCTATACAAATGCCAGACTTTGCTTATTTTGTACACATTTTTTCTAATTATTATTTCAGCCCTGTAAATTTAGTATTATGATCTACATCCTACTTTCAAAATTCTCAGCTAGGTTTATCTGACCATAAATTCCTTTTTTCTGGAAATGCTTTTTTTTTTTGCTTTTCAATTTTTTAAGCTGAAATATAGCTTACATGAAGAAAAATACTCAAGTCTTAAGACTACAGGTGTTTAAACACACAAATGTGTATCACTGTGCAATCACCACCCAGATTCCGAGCCTTTCTAGCAGCAATAGTTCTACTTTCTTTTTTGGTACCTGCAGATAACACCCCCATCAGTGATCCTTCTGTTTTTGAATTTCATATAAACAGAACATGTAGTATGTAGCTTACTTTTTAAGAGTACATTTTATTGATTATGACATTACAGTTGTCACAATTTTTTTGCCCTTTATCCCCTTCTCTCCTGCATGCCCCACCCTTCCGCATCCCTCCCTCTTTCATTCATGTGGATGGGTCATTCAAATAAGTTTGTTGGTCCCTCCATTTCCTATACTATTCTTAACCTCCCTCTGTCTATTTTGTACCTACCATTCATGCTTTTTATTCCCTGCACCTTTTCCCCCATTCTCCTTCCTCCCCCTCCCTGCTGATACTCTTCCATGTGATGTTCATTTCTGTGATTCTGTTCTCGTTCTAGTTGTTTGATTAGTTTTTGTTTTAGTGTTTCAGGTTCAGTTATTGATAGTTGTGAGTTTGTTGTCATTTTACTGTTCATATTTTTGATGTTTTTTTCTTAGAAAGAACCTTTAACATTTCATATAATAAGGGCTTGGTGATGATGAACTTCTTTAACTTGACATTACCTGAGAAGCACTTTATCTGCCCTTCCCTTCTAAATGAAGCTTAGCTGGATAGAGCAATCTTGGATGTAGGTCCTTGCCTTTCATGACTTGGAGCACTTCTTTCCAGCCCCTTCTTGCCTGCAAGGTCTCTTTTGAGAAATCAGCTGACAGTCTGATGGTCACTCTTTTGTAGGTAATGGTCTCCTTGTCTCTTGCTGCTTCTAGGATTCTCTCCTTTATTTTAATCTTGGCTAATGTAATTAGATGTGCCTTAGTGTGTTTCTTCTTGAATCCAATTTCTGGGGACTCTGAGCTTCCTGGACTTCCTGCAAGTCTACTTCCTTCACCAGATTGGGGAAGTGTTCCTTCCTTATTTGTTCATATAAGTTTTCAATTTCTTGCTCTTCCTCTTCTTCTGACACCCCTATGATTTGGGTGTTGGTGTGTTGAATGTTGTCCTACAGGTTCCTAAGCTCAGCTCTCTCCCCACTTTCCACCACTTCCCTTACTTCCCACAAGTGGATTTGATACAGGGTGCAGCCAAGAGGGAGGCCCCAAAAAGGGATTTGGAATGGGGTCCAGGACTCAAGGTGTCTGGGAAATATTAGACAGATATATAGGACCTGTGAGGTCCTTCCCTCACAGGTGTGAGTTGGGGAAAGGGACACTTGGAGCAGGAACATGCAGGGCTGTTTTGTACAGCCACAGCCTTGCAACTAATCCATGGCATGGTCATTTAACATATCTATAACATTTAACCGGCTGAATAGATATGTTAAATAGCTGTGGCCATGCTCTGAGCCAGGGGACAGAAAGGGACTTCCCCCCAAGATGTAAATGGGGGCAGGTCCCCTAGGTGACAGCACCTGAGTGACAGCTTGGACAAGATTGGCTCCATGACATGGGGTCATACCTGCCCAGACTCACATTGGCAGCCCAGTAAACTGGGACTTCTACAGGAATGCTGGCAGGTGTAACTGATTGTAGGAGGAGTCAGAAATGGGGGTACAGAGGAAGATTGGTGCAGGGATTTAAACCCAGACATGGCAGCCATTGAGGGGAGTACCAGGCAGCTTTGCCAGAGTGAGGACCCCTTCCCTGCAGCCATTGAAGGAAGATTCATGTGGTTTGGCCAGAGTAGGAGCCCTGCAGCTTTGGTAGAAGACGACCATGTGGATTTGGGGTGGTCCTTTTGGCCATGTGGCCCAGGAAGCAGCAGAGACTTTGACTGGAAGAAGGGGGAAAGCACTCTTGCCAGTAGGCCATGAGAAGGTGCCACATGGCTTTGGATTAATTAGAGATCCTGCCTGGACGGTGACACAGCTGACAGTGTCAGCAGCCTGAAACACGGATGTGTGCTTCTTTTCTGGAGTTACAGTACTCTGAATTAGGGCAGGGGAAGAAGGAAACACTGTGTGAGTAGGTGGATATCCTAAAGGACTTTGATATTTTAGTGAAGGTATTAGGTCACTACTTTAAGTCTGTATAGCATTAAATAAACATTTCCTTTCCTTTCCACAAATCTCTGTCATTGAGAGATGTCTTTCCTATAAAGTGGCGGACATAGCGAACCTGGGGGGGTCCTTTCAGTTAATAGTATACTGCGACCTCCACTTGGTCCTGTGAGTTCTGTAACAAATTTTGCCCTTTCAGGTGCTGATTCCTGGGTGGGTTGGGTGCGTGTACATTCTAAGACCTGGTGGTCCCCTTCAGTGGACTCTCCAGTGAGCCTGGAAGTTTCTACCCCTGCAGCAACCCCCACAGATTTTATAGCCAGAGGTTTTGAGTCTTTAGTTTCTTGTGCTGAAACCCTTTTTTGTGTAGTCTGTCTTGCTCCCCAGTTATTACTTGTGGGGGCAACTTTGGCAGCAAGTTCCTCCATCCACCATGGATAAAAGTAACACTACCAAGACATGATCTGCTTGGGGAGGAGAGGTGGCTGGTCTCTCAGAGGAGAAAGTCCAGGAGCCCCTTCCTCATAGGGATTTTATTGGGTTGTAATACACAGAAATACAGGTGGCAAGGATAAAACAGTAGATAACATTTCAAAGAAATCTGAGGGCTTAGTCTGAGTCAGCTTCTGTCAGGTAAAATGGATGCAGAAACTTTGGGAGACATACTCATTTCCTGCTTGGACCCTTATCATATGAATAAAAGCACTCTTAGCCAAGCAGGCTTCACAGGATTTTCAGGAATTCTTTCTTATGCCTGATCACCCCGGATCCCACTCTAGCCGGGCAAGGGGCTGCACCACCTCCCCCATCACAGGTTTTCAGGCGTAAGTGGATTAGAGCTAGGAAGCG